GACTAAAGTATCGAACCGAATCGTGAATTTTCTGTATCGTTGCACCCCTAATATATATATATATATGGACTGTCTTACAGATGCAATCTTTAGATCTAATTTAAGTATAAAACGGCAGATCAGCTTGACTTGCATCACAGTATGTTGCTGCAAATGTGAAGTACTTTTTATTATACAACACCATTCAACAATGCATAATTTCATGTCTTGTTTGAGGACACTTCATTACATAAAGGACGTCAAGCCATTGGTGAAGACAGACGCACTTTCACTTGAGCTACGCTGCTATCAAGTTTACATAATTTATTTATTCTGTTTTTTTTTAATGCAATATGAATAATGTTGCTGTTCAATTTTTCTGTCCCCCAGGTGTGACCGGTACTTCTACATCCGCCACAGAGGAGAGACCCGTGGCATTGGAGGGATCTTCTTCGATGACCTGGACTCCCCAAGTCAGGAAGAGGCGTTCAACTTCGTCAAGAGCTGCGCGCGCACCGTGGTGCCTTGCTACCTTCCCATAGTCTACAAACATCTCAACGACTCCTTCACTGCTGAGGAGAAGAACTGGCAGCAGATACGGCGAGGGAGGTGAGTCGAAGAGGAAGATTGTAACTGATGAGTGAGTTACTTATATCACTGACCGGCAGAAGTTCTCTGATCTAGTTATTCTTTTCTGTTAATTGGGTTTTTTAATTCAGTAAGTTATTAAAGTGCCTACAACAGTCATATCCTTCAGTTAAGAAAGGTCAAAGAAAACATATTTATATTATAGAAGCTTGTCGTTTTTTTCACAAAACTGGCATCTTTTCTTTTGAATTTGTCTCAGCCAAAGTGAAACAGGAAGTGACATCAAAGGAGAACTCCCTCGTCTTTGTTTGACACAATATTATTTGGACTTTTCATCATCTCTCTTCGATAGTGAATCAAAACAATCTAAAGAAAAATCAGGTTCTTATCTTCAGACTATGTTGTTAGACATTTTGTTCACATGCAGACATTCCCCTTTGACATCACTTCCTGTTATTTCACATGTGAATATCTCAACAATTGTTCATCTCAGCTGCATAAATTAAATTTTTAAAAATGTTATCAATGTTATCTTTCCAAAAATGCATTCATATTTATTACAAAAATTAGACGTCACAGGCACTTTACTCAGCAGGTTGCAAGCTTACCAAAGAATGAGCTGATGCCACCAAACTTACTTAGCTGAGCCATGAGAGGTTGAGCGGCTAAAGCCTKTCCTCTGCCTACATTCAGTTCAGTGAAGTCTTCAACATCTATTGGAAAGTTTAAT